GCCTGCATCGGGACCTGCCTAGCGCAAAGACGACCGCTCCGCAAAGGTCTACACCCCCGCGCCTGGGGTGCGGGGCTCGCGGCCGCCCCACAGCCCTGGGCTGCTGCTGATTGGTCCAGGGAAGACACCTGACTGCGCCGGCCAATCCGAGTGCTCTCCCAGGAATGCGGCCCCACGTGGGGCCTGGAGCGCTAGCCGCAGCCCCAGTTGGGCCGGGCGACCGTGCAGGCCACGTGCCTGGGAGCGGAGATTCGGCCTCCCATCGCCCGGTGGCGCCGGCCCGGCTCCCAAGACTTCGTGTCCCTTTGCCAGATTCCTCTCTTCCCTCCTGCCGATTCCTGCGACTCACCCCCTGTGGGTGCTTCTGAGCATTAACTAGTCTAAAGTAGGTGACTGTGGCTTAGAAAGGAGTCCTGGTGGCGCAGTGGTTAAGTGGTTGGCTGTTAGAACGGTTGGACCCCACCAGCTGCTCTGTGGCAGACAGACCTGGCGACCTTCTCCCATAAAGATGACAGTTCAAGAAACGCAATGGGGAAGGTCTGTGTCCTAGACGGGCTCAGAATCAAACTCGGGCAAATTGAGATTTTGAGGCTGACAGCCGCAGTCAACTCAGGGTTGAACTTCTTTGAGCCTCAGGTTTTCATCTGTAAAATGACCTACCAAGAGGGTTTGGGTGAGGATTAAATAGAAGGCCTGCAGTCAGCCGACCTGGTCCATACAGTTGGGCCCCACATCAATTCTCCCTACCCTTGAGGAACTCCCAATTACTGCCTTCGTTCATGGCTACCTTTGCTGTGGTGAAGTACTGTTGAGAACTCTGTAATTAGAGTTGTGTGAGACCTTGAATTCTGAGCACCCTGGCGTGCAAGGAGCTATGGATGGCAGTGATCTGCTAAAATCCGTTTGCAGAGTTCCTACATAGATTAAGCCTCCATTGAATTCTTTATGATCATTAATCGAAGATGTAGATCATCTTGCCCTTAGGGAGAGTGCATTGACTCTGCCTCTCCAGCCAGCCCAAGGAGGGGCAGACTTAGGGGCTTCCTTGGCTGAGCCATTGATGGAGCTCACCAAAGAGGAGATGGTGCAGTGGGTAGAGTAGCCATGGGGCATGGTCATGGTCAAAAGGGATTCAGTGGTGGCTTAATCCACTCAGTCTTGGTCATGGTCAAAAGGCCCTAGACCGATCTTGTAAGCCCTTCCATTTAACGAGTCCCAATCGTGGTCCTGTTCCTGTTTCTGTAACCCCATCTGTAACTGATGGACTGATAGCGACCAGTCATGAGTTTGTGACAGTTTCCTTTCTGTTTCATGCCTGATTTTAGCAGTTGTGTGACTATGAATCTTTGGATGACATTTGACCTCGTGCTAATGAACTCCTTCATCTAGGCGATGATTCTGTGTCTTTGTCTCCTGTAAGACTTAATATTCTCCTTCAATTATATTTGAGATGGGGGGGGGTCTCTTGTACCCTAAAACAAAGCTTACATTCAAAGCACCCAAGTTTGCAGAAGGCTAGGAATGACAGTGAAAACCCAAAACCCATTTGCAGAGTCACCAAGTGGATAAGGCCACCATTGAATCTCTTTGGATCATTAACTAGGGATGAGGAATAGCCTTGCCCTCAGGCAGAATGCACTGGAAAGTAGAAGACAGGCTCTCTTAGACGTTGGCCTGGGTGTGTCCTTGATGGAGAGCGATCACCATACCAGGGGTCGAATAGCCATGACTGCCTTGGTCAGAAGGACCCCTGGACCAATCTTGCACACTCTTCTGTCTAACATAACGTATGTGTCACACAGTCTTGGGCCTGTTCCCATGTCTGCAGTCACACCTGTAACTGCGATGTGTTGTTGTTCTGCCGCCCATCATCAATTTGTGAATGCCCCTTATGTCCCGGGCCTTGTTTAAGCAGCTGTGTGTCCATGAGTCAATCCTTGGTTGCCACTATGATCCCCTGCTAATGGTTTCTTTCATTTGAAAAGGTGCCTTTGTTTTTGTCCTGTTTAATAAGTGATCTCCTTAAAATTCATTATATTTGAGAGTTTGGTACCCTACAACACTCCTCTGATACACAGTGGCCCAGTGTAGGAGGGGACTTCAAAAAGTCTGTAGAAAAACGGAATAAAAATATCATGGAATTTTTCCATGACCTTTTTGACGTTTCATCCTATAACGGAACTAGAGGTTGCCCGGTCTTGTGCCATCCTTTAAGCAAGCCCATTGTGGTGGACTCCTTCCCACTCACAGTGACCTACGGGACAGAGTAGAACTGCCCATGGGCCTTCCAAGACCGCAAGTCTCTCCAGAAACAAACTGCCACCACTTTTTCATACAGAGCAGCTACCTCCCGTAACAGTGGAGAGCTTAACCACATGCGGCCAGGGCCCCTGCATCACTCTTACTAGCCTGAAAGCTACTTGCCAGCAGGGCTGTACCCTTATGCCTTTTAAGTAAGGCTTTTTCTCCCTAGCCTTCACCCGTCCCACCCCTTCACTTGGTCTGACTAGGGTAGACGGAACCATAGAATCATGTGGTTGATATCATAGGAAATCCTAGCATTATGGTGAAAATAATAATAATGCACTGAGGATATACTGGGAAACCATTTTGTCAAAAAGCTGCCCTGTACAGCCCTCTGTAAGCTCAGGAAGCACTGGACCTGTCTGGACCTCAGTAGTACGAAAACCATGACTGCAGCTGTCGGAAGATTTGCCAGCTGCCAGTCACTGTTCTGAATGATCAAGGAAGCCTCTCAACAGCTCCATTTCACGGAGGACTCAGGCACAGAGAGGTTCTGCAACAGGGCTAAGGTTGCACAGGGATTCAAACTAGCCCTGCAGACTACAGTCCGAGTTCAAGACCTCACAGGGTTCTCACTACTATTTCACTAGTGCAGGCAACTGGCACACCAAAAACCAGCCACCTGGGACTTTGGAGAGGGCTAGGGCTCACAGGCAAAGGCTTCTGTGTCTGGCAACCCAAGGTGGCCAGTGGGGCTGAAGGGTGGAGAGTGAGGGGGGTAAAGGGAGGAGATGCACCTGGGCTTGCAGGCAGGGCCAGATCTCTCAAGGTCACTTAGGGCACTAGGAGGAGCTGGAGTCCACATAGGGGAGACTCGTCACTGGGGTTCTGCGGTATCTCAAAACCACCCACAGTTCTTCTGGAGAAAAACTGGGCTTTTTACTCCCATGAACAGTTACTGTCACAGGAACCCACAGAGGGTGACTGTGAGTCAGCATCGACTCGATGGCAGCGAGTTTTTCACCATAGCTTCATCTCAGACCCTGCCACACCTTGAGGCCCAGGGCCCATCCTAGTCCTAAGAACTCTGCCTGCTTCCTGGCTCCCTCCTTGGGCAGGGCTAAAGTTGCAGTCACCTTGAGGCCACCCAGCTCCTTTCTGGTCTCACCTTCTGTCTTGTTGTTAGGTGCTCTCAAGTGGATTCCAATACATAGGTACCCTGTGCACACGAGACACAACACTGCACCATCCTCACAATTGCCCCTGTGCTCTAGGCTTTACAGTAGGGCTCCTTAGCTCTTCCGGCACCAACCAGAATAGTAGGGCTATTCATGTTCTGACCTTCCACTTTTTATTTCAGAGATGCCCTATCGGAGGAGCCCTGGTGGTGTAGTTGCTGCAAGTTGGGCTGCAATCAGCAAGGTCAGTAGTTCAAAACCCCCACCCACTCTGCAAGAGAAAGTCAGGGCTTTCTCTCCAGTAAATGGTTACAGTCTCGGAAACTGACAGGGGCAATTTCTACTCTGTCCTATAAGGTTGCTACCCTATCCTATACGGTCGTTATGAGTTGGCATGGACTCGGTGGTGGTGGGTTGAGTGAGTATCATTTAAGGGCTCTGCAAGTGTTCATCAACTTTCGATTCACCGGCTGCCTTCCCAGGGGAGAGTGGTTGTTTGGGAATGGGGAAGAGCAGAGCTGTTGTCGGCTGTTGGGTCTCAGGTGGCCATCTCGTTGGTCTTGTCTTACCCCTGACTCCTCTGCAAACCTCTGTCTTGTGGGGATTCGCCTCCTCAGATTTCCCGGTTCCCCTCCCGTTCCCTCCCACTGCGTCTACGGTGAGCCTCAAGGCTCACTCTCTTGCCTGGTTCCCCCCTAGATCTTCAGACCGCATTTATATCCAACCAGTAGCATGACTTCTGCCCCTGCATGACCTTCAGGTTCTTCAAACAGACCATTTAAAAAATCCCACGAATATCTGCCTTTCTTAAGAAACCTTGTCAGAAATGTGTAACCGATATCTAATAGAGTCCAGAGGACAGGAAAAGCGGGTGACACAAGGCAAGTTAAGTGTCACCCAGTCACGTTCGTTGTCCTGGAAAACATGAGGCAAGGAATATTTTTAGAGGATAAGAGAATTAAGAGAAGGACCAATTGTAATATATGATCTGAATTAGAGTTCATCAAAGCCATCTGCCAAAGGTATTTTGGGAGAAATTCCACTGAATAAAAAGGGTATTGGATATTAAGGAAGTGTGGTTAGTTAGTGTGCTGGTTAGGAGCACCGACGGCATAATGGGTGACAGGTTGGGCAGCAGTTTGAAACCACCAGCAGCTCTGTGAGAGAAAGATGAGGCTTTTTCCTCCTGTAAAGACTTTCCCTCTCAGAAACCAACTGGACAGCTCTGTTCTCTGTTAGAACTCACGCCGTGAGTCAGTGCTGACTCAGCGATCCTGTGGCACGGGGAAGAACTGCCCCTGTGGATTTCCAAGACCGTGACTCTTAGGGGAGTAGAAAGTCCTCTCTTTTTCCCCCCGCAGAGCAGCTGGTGGTTTCAAAACCCTAACCTTATGCTTGAGGCACAACCACTGCCAGGGCCTCCAGGGTCAGAATTAATTTGATGGCAGTGGGTTTGATTTTTGAATATTTTGGTTATATAGAATGTTCTCATGTTTCGTTAAGGATGTAAGTGACAGGTATGATGTATCTGGTTCACTTTGAAATTGTTCAAAAACAAAACTATAGAAAGCGAATCATGTGCTTGCTTCGGTGGCACATAGACTAAAATTGGAACGATACAGAGATGACTAGCATGGCCCCTGCACAAGGATGACATGCAAATAATAGCAAAATGCTAGCCTATTTTCAATCTAGGTGGTTTGGTTTTATATATATACAAGAGGACTTCAAAGAGTTTGTGGAAAATGGAATGAAAAGATAATGGAATTTTCCCACAAACATTTTGAAGCCCATATATATGTAAGGATGTCAAAAAGTATTGCCATTAGGATTCCAGTTCAAACACGTGCAGGTTTATTTCAAGCAAAACATTGTTATAAATGTCTGTGTAAGTGGCGACAAGGCCTTTCAGGAATACACTTGTCTGACTCCCATTCGGGTGCCTTCCAAAAGAGACACAATCCAAACAGCAGCTTCCAAGGGGTTCTCCTGGGCCAGTTCATTCAAGGCTGAGAGGTCAGCTCAGAAAGCCAAGGCTGATTGTTTGGTCTCTGAAGGGGTCATCTTGATGGAGTTCCTCAAAGGACACAGGGTGATCATGGGGGATTATTATGAAGAAGTATCAAAGATTAAAAATTGGCTTGGTGAGAAAACGCCCAAGAAAGTTGTGCTCAAGAAAAAAAACTTTCATCACAACAATGCACTTGCTCATGTTTTGATGGTAGCGAGAGTTGGGTATGAGAGTTTTATTAGGAAACCCCGCCCCATCCATCCTCCCACCCTGCCTTGCCTTTCCAGACTTCTTTTTGTTCCTTAAACTCCAAAACTCTTTCAAAGGAGCATAATTTGACTCCCTCGAGGATACTTATGTTGAAATCAAAGAGCACAGAGGAAGGATCAGAGAGATGGAAACACTGTCCTCAGTTGTATGCAGACCTGAATGGAGGATTTGTCAAGAAACAATAACTTCAATGGTGCCCGGCGATCAAAAGATATAGCCTCTGGGGTCTTAAAGGCATGAAGATAAACAAGCAGCCATCTAGCTGAGAAGTAACAAAGCCCACATGGAAGAAGCACACCAGCCTGTGCGATCATGAGGTGTCGATGGGATCAGGTATCAGGCATCAAAGAACAAAAAATCATATCATTGTGAATGAGGGGGAGTGTGGAGTAGGGACCCAAAACCCATCTGTTGGCAACTGGACATCTCCTTACAGAAGGGTCTCGGGGAGGAGATGAGCCAGTCAGGAGGTAGTGTAGCACCAATGAAACATACAACTTTCCTCTAGTTCCTAAATGCTTCCTCTCCCCCACTATCATGATCCCAATTCTACCTTACAAGTCTGGCTAGATCAGAGTATGTAATGGTACAGATAGGAACTAGAAACACAGGGAATCCAGGACAGATGAACCCCTCAGGCCCAGTGGTGAGAGTGGTGATACCAGAAGGGTGGAGGGTAAGTGGAGTAGAAAGGGGGAACTGATTACAAGGATCTATATATAACCCCTTCCCTGGGAGACGGACAACAGAAAAGTGGGTTAAGGGAGATGTTGAACAGTGTAAAAGATGACAAAATAATAATAATTTATAAATTATCAAGGGTTCATGGGGCGGGGTGGGGAGGGAGGGGAAAATGCACTGATACCAAGGGCTCAAGTAGAAAGCAGATGCTTTAAGAATGATGATGGCAACAAATGTGCTTGACACAATGGATGTTGTATGGATTCTGAGAAGAGTTGTATGAACCCCCAATAAAATGATTTAAATTTTAAAAAAGAAACAATAGCTTCACATTTTGTTATTTTTACTTAATGAAGGTTTCTATGATATTTGTAGCAATTTTTACTGTCTGTATATATTTTCAAGCTTTTCTATATGTTTGCAAAATGCCACAATTAAACACTTTCACAAGTTTGATGGAGATATAATTCACATCTGATTCAATGATTCAATCATAATAAGAAGGTTTGTACAGCTTTGGGACGTTTGTTCTTCCTGGAAGCCTTTGCTGTTGACTCCCTATCCCCCACCCACACCTTCACATTGTAGTGGTTGATGTCAGCAGATGTAGAGCCCGTGCTTTGGAGCTCCTCCTGGTCTTATCGATACGCTCGGACACCTCTTCTTTCCCTCGTTCCTCTTCAGCCCCACTCAACAACTTGGTCTCCATATGCTGAGACTATCTCTCAAAACTTCCTGGAGGCTAAGAATATTACAACTTCTTATGGATTGAAGTGTGTTCTTGAAAAATGTGTTAGAATCTTAACCCTTATACCTTGTGGACACAATCCTTTTTTGGAAATAGGATTTTCTTTTGTTATGTTACCCACACCCAAGTAGGGTGGGTTCTAAACCCAGTTCACTTCTGAGTTAGGAAAGGAGCAGATTAACCTAGTGACTGGATTGCATCTTCACTTTTGATTGGCTCGAGGGCTTGACCAATTCCCCCCAAGGGATACTGCCTTCCCACCCCCACCCCCTGCTTTGCAAGTTCTCCCACTTGATTGGCTCCTGTGTGGCTAGGCCCTCCTCCCTTGCCCTGGATGGGCCCTGGGTGTTCAGTTCACTTTCTAGACACCTCAGTGGGTGCACCTTTGCCAATTTCCTGACAATGTCTTCCTCCAGCCCCCTCTGGAGAATGGCCCAGGCTCCTTTCAGGCCCCTCCTCCCGTTGGTTCTGTCCCACAACAGCTGCTAATCAAAACCAAGGCCATGATGTCATATGTTCTCTCTAGCATCTCACCCTGTGATTCCACATCTGTATCCCTACCTTCCTAGAAACCAGGAGGGAGTCCAGTCATGAGGAGAGGGTGTCTACTGGTTAGGCCCAAGTCAGGGGTCAAGTTCCTTGAGCCTGCAGAGGCTCCCTTCCCCTCAGTGGCGGTGCCTTCCTCAACTTCCTTCCCTTCTCACTGAAAACAGAACGGAAACCCACCACTGCCGCACCTTCCAAGTCTCAGAAGATGAGGGCTTTCCCTTCTGGTCCACAGTTTCTCTCCCAGCATCCCTAAGCACACACCTCACACCTCCTTGACCTGAGTGAACTCACGGTTTTGTTTCTTAGGCTCTCTCCACTCTCAGTTTCTCAACAGCACTGTACTCCTTAAAGAACGTGTTGAGCCAATCCACAAACTGTATTCAGACCCAACTCTGCAGCAAGCTTTGTGCTAGGCCCTGGGGATAGCATGCGGGTGTTAGTTGCTATCAAGGGGACTCCAACTCACGGTGAACCAAAGTGCCAAGGAACAAAACCTTGCCCGGCCCTGTGGCGTCTCATAGTCACCCGTATGCCTGAGTGTCCATGGTTGCAGGCCCTGTGTATCTGAGCCTTCCTCTTTCAGTTTGTACCAACGCTGTTCTGTGTTCATTGGCTGTGTTAGGGTTTAGATCACCAAGTCCTTGTGTTTAGGCTGCCTTAGTCTAGAAGCTCTTTGGAAACGTGTCAACAATGAGTGGTCCTGGTGGTATTTAAAGTACCAGTGGCATAGTTCCTAGCATTGTAGCAATAAACAAGATGCCATAGTATGACAAACTGACACATGGGGGTAGATGTGAACACCCATGGGGACAAAGTAGTGAAGGAATCCTAACCTCTTAGAATTTCCCAAAATAGGTGACACCACACCCTGGGACGTGCTGAGCTGATCTAGTGGGGTGTGGGTTCGGGGTGGGTGGGGGGGCACTGCTGCAAAAGCAATACTTAGACTTTATCCTGGATTATGGGCTACAGTACAAACGTTTTTCATTGCCAGGAGGGCATGGTGGTTTGTTTTGTTTTGCTTTTTCCTGAAAAGGGAGGAGTGGGCTAAGTATGTATGGGAACCTATGCTCTAGAGCAGTGATTTTGCTACTGTTACGAGTCGGGCGACCCCTGTAAAAGGGTCCTTCAACCCCTAAAGGTGTTGCGACCCACGGGTTGAGAACTGCTGCTCTAGAGAGATGAGATGTGGACCAAGAAATCCCATATAATCAAGAAAAAGCAAATGGTCAATGAAATAGGATTTAGTTTGTTCAGAAATAAAGCCATACTTACATTCAATGACATTTCACTCTGGGGTCAAGACAATTCAGCGGGGGAAAGAATAGTCCTTTTCAATAAAGATTGCTGTGACAAGTAGATATTATTCACATGTGTGAACATGGCATGGGGTGGGGCAGAGAGACAGAGCCCCACACAATCATTGGTGGTCATTGTAAAGCCAGGCAAGAAAGGCCACATGTCAATGATTCATTGGAGTACAAGCCCTCCACCTTGCCCCCAGCTTCTCTAGCCATGAGTCTTGCATACGTGAAGGATAACTTCTGTCTTTCAATTATTTTACCGTTCTAAGTCAGTCCTTGGTCATTCGTCTTTCAGTAGGAAGAGTCCTGAGGATGGAGATACTTGGCTACCAGCCATTCGCTCTACATACATCCATCTGGTGGTTAGGTTCCCTACAAGTCTTCGCGGCTGCACCCTTCCTGGCATCTGCTAAAATTTAATGGAGAGGAGATTCTGCCTTGCTCTGAGGCTCGTGTTATGTGGTGTCAGCGTAACAAAACCTTTGAGGGATGTTGGGCTTGGTCCCCGTACTCGGGTCCAAAGCTTAGTTCACTCATACAGTGCCATCCCTAGAGTTGCTATCAGCCCAGGGGTAACCCTCTCCCATGCACATGGCACACGGCCCTCCTCCTGTACCAGGTCCTACAGCATCCTTAGTAATGGTCATTATCAAGTAACCATATGTGATAAATGGTCGTACATTGCTTAACTTCAATATTCTTAGGTTCTATGAAAACTAACCACAAAATGGTTTTGTAAAATCTTTCTACATCAATTGACAATATTATTAGCTACAGTGCTATTCATAGTGACCCTACAGGACAGGGCTTCTAAGGCTGTTAACTCTCTACGAGAGAACGCCTGGGCTTTCTCACGAGGGTTGACTGGTGGTTTCCTGTGGTGGACCTTGCCGTTGGCAGCCCAGCTCAGAACCACAATGCCACCACACCACCACACAACCACGTCACCACACACCACGTCACCACCTACCACATCACCACGCCACCACATCATCACGCCACCACATCACCATGCCACCATATCATGCTACCACACCACCATGCCACCACATCACCATACCACCACACCACCACACCACCACATCACCACACCACCAGGTCACCATACAACCACACCACCACGC